CACACCAAGCACCACAACCTGAGCTCCTCACACCAAGCACCACAACCTGAGCTCCCCGCACCAAGCACCCCGACCTCAGCTCCCAACACCAAGCACCCCGACCTCAGCTCCCCACACCAAGCACCCCAACCTGAGCTCCCCACACCAAGCACCCCAACCTGACCTCACACCAAGCACCCCAACCTGAGCTCCTCACACCAAGCACCCCAACCTCAGCTCCCCACACCAAGCACCCCAACCTCAGCTCCCCACACCAAGCACCCCATCCTGAGCTCCTCACACCAAGCACCCCGACCTCAGCTCCCCACACCAAGCACCCCAACCTGACCTCACACCAAGCACCCCAACCTCAGCTCCCCACACCAAGCACCCCATCCTGAGCTCCCCACACCAAGCACCCCAACCTCAGCTCCCCACACCAAGCACCCCAACCTCAGCTCCCCACACCAAGCACCCCATCCTGAGCTCCCCACACCAAGCACCCCAACCTCAGCTCCTCACACCAAGCACCCCAACCTGAGCTCCTCACACCAAGCACCCCGACCTGACCTCGCACCAAGCACCCCACACGGAGCTCTGTAGGGTTAGGGAGGAAGAGGCATCTGTGGGATGGGGGAAATTTTCAATATTGTTCAGGGGAAGTGCAGTGCATGATGGGAAACCTGCCTTCCTGCCCCAGAGAGGGCGGGGCTAGAAACCAGGTGGGGATCTGCTGCAGCTGAGAAGTTCTGATATGTCAACGGGGGACGTTCACTGAGATCATCTGAAGGGATCTAGTGTGAGAGGATTCCAGACTTGTCTGTGGAGCTGACACTCCATCCTCGGTCCGGCCACACACATAAGGATCGGGGTTCCTCCTCACACTGCCCCCCCTCCCCACCCTCCAGGTATTTGTCTGAATCTTCTATTAGGGAAATCCGGATTATTGCTGGAAGTAACTCTCTGGGGGGGGAAATGGGATTGTAGTTTCCGGCCGGGATTCTCCAACTCCACAGAGTGCAGATTGCATGGAGTATGTGGAGGGGATAATGCCCCATTGCCCTGAGAGGGGTAAATATGATGTAGCCAGGAGGGACAAATGTTAGCATAATGAGCTGACCAGAGAGAGGAGATTCCATTCCAATGGTGTGAGATGGACGGAGGAACATTCTGGAATCTTCCATCTGATGGCCAACAATCCTCCCAATTCCCATGACTGGGGGGAGGGGCAATGTCAGAAATTCCCCAGCATGCTGGTCTGGTTTTTCCATTGTACATGTGATTGTAGTGTGTGTGACTGGAGATCCGTCTTCCAGGTTCCATCACAAGGTCTGGGTGACCAACAGCACTCCGGGGACCCCCATCCACTAGGTCTGTACACCTTATGAGGGGCCCCCACCATCCCTGTGCTGAGTTCCCGGGTATATCTGTACACCTGCTGTGCCCATTATGAGGGGCCCCCACCATCCCTGTGCTGAGTTCCCGGGTCTGTACACCCGCTGTGCCCATTATGAGGGGCCCCCACCATCCCTGTGCTGAGTTCCCGAGTCTGTACACCCGCTGTGCCCATTATGAGGGGCCCCCACCATCCCTGTTCTCGCTCTCGGGCTCCTTCTATAATGAAATGTGACGTCTGGGTGGAGTATGTGGCCCCTGGTTGCCGGCCTCTGGAGAACATTCCATTGGTTTGGAGTTGATGAAGTTTATCTGTCTCGGGATCGGCCCCCCGGGGTGTTGGAGTGATTAGTGGCCCTTGGTGGGCTCTTGCTGACCATCCTGTGACATTTGTCCTCTCCCCCCCTCACTTTCACACCTCCATCTCTGTGTCTTGTCTCCGCAGGGAAGTGGTCGGCCCTCCCCCCGGTGACAGGTCCTCTTGTTGAAGCCTCATCTACATAACAAAGGTTGTGATTGGGGAGGAAGGGGCCGGTATGCGGGGCCCCCTCACCTTGTACAGTGAGACTTCTTCTCATGATGTGACCGGCTTGGTGACCCTCAGCACCGTCCTCCAGGACCAGGTCAATTCTGCCCTGACCTATGATATGTCCCCGGGGGTCCAGCTCTGGCCACCCCTCACACTGCACAAGGATTGGGGCAACTGGAGCCCAACCACTGGCCAGGAGCCCATCTGCCCCAAGGACCAGCTGCATGGGACAATGGGGGCCCCAAAGCTGACCAGAGAGGGCAGGAAGATGAAGAAAATAAAGAAGAAAAACTACCAACGTCATTCCAAACCACCGTACTCCTACCTGGCCATGATCGCCCTGGTCCTCCAGAACTCCCCCGACAAGATGTTGAAACTCT